AAAAGTTATATATGCTGTACCTGTTTAGTAGTTTTATGAGTGCCTTGAACTATCCTTTTAGATTTTCCACCAGTTTGACATTTTGGTTTTCCTTCAAGACAACAAAAAATAAATAAATAGGTACATATACAGAATGACAGACAATATAAAATAGAACTATAGGCAATTAGATAATATAAAACTTAACTATGCAAATCATTCAGGCATACTAACACATAACCTCTTTCCAGAGAATACAGAACAGTACAGTCTATTCACGGTCAATATGAACTAATGTGGAAAAAAGCAAATTTCCAAAGTCCCAGAGACTGCTTTTATTGAATGGCTGTCTCAAAACAGGAATAAATCAACTTCTTAAAGAAGTCAGATACTCCAACAATTTAAAAACAAAGTCCAGTTACTGGTACTCCTCAACTTATATACAAGTCTAGAAAAACTTCTCTGAATTCGAATTTTATTTCGACAATAAAAATAAGACTATTTTTTACCATATAAAACTCCAATATTTTAATTAGTTTATCTGATTTATGAAATACAGAGTTTCATTTTGAAAAGGGAGGTTTTCAGTTCTTCATATTTTTGCGGTCAGATAGATTTTACTCACTTATTCTTTTTTATAAGACAGACTAACCACTGTTTCGTAAACACTCTATCCTTGACAGTAATTCAAAACAAGAATAAAATTCTATAATGTATAAAAGAATAATTTTCCTTTCTACAAAATAATTTTGGGACTAGGTACCCTGAAGCAGTGTAAGTGAAGGGAGCCATAACACATACATACCTACTAACGACTTATCTGATGTAAGTGGGACTCCCCCACCGCTCTACCAGGGATAACCAGAGAACTCTACAATAACCTACATAGCCCTTCATGCATCCTTTTGTTATATGGAACAATGGTACCAGCAGGTTTTTTGGAGTATTCAGCAGAAAAAAACAGCTTGGAAGAAGCACTAGCACCAATGTACCCAAACAGGTTTTTTAGAATATCCAGCAGAAAAAACAGCTTAGAAACAGAAATAATATAAAGAAGAGAACTTTTTAAAAATGGAATTATTATCCTCAGAAACATCTGAGTATATATTGTAGCCATAAAACAAGAACAAGCTGCTGTTAAAAAAAATAAATACACAGTGGCAAAATTTTACCAGTATAAAATAATCCTTACCAAAACTCATAAATGTTAACTTTCTTCTTGTGTCATCATTATTATAGATATTCAGAAAGTGCTAATTCTCTGTGCTTATAGTTTTATTATTTTGCAATAAGCACATATAAAGCTTTAAAATTGTTCTGGTCAATTATTTATGTACTTCTATGAAAAATCGGGTTATGCATAGATGTGTGATTTACTGTATTTTCTTTCCTTTTATGTTTTTTTAATAGAAGTGACGTTAATAAAAACACCTTTTGGACTATTTTGTGTTATGAATAACCCACGGAAAATGGGAAAATAAAATTTTGTATAAAAAATATTTATAATTCACAGTAACCATAAAACATCTTTATGTTTTATGTTTTTACTTTTGTAGTAAATAATGTTGATATGTATTTCTATCAAAGAAATAAATAGTAAGCAGCTGAATTTCAAAAGATAAATTCAATTCCTCAGTCTATTTGATAGATTTTGTGACTCAAAATAACTCCTCTCTAAAAACAGCTACGAAGACTAAGAAAAAAGCCACAGGGGAGGATTCGTTCAAGCAGATACTGTGAAATACTAAAATGTCTCTAAAATTAACACAGTGTGGTACTCACACATGAATTAGATAAACAGGCTAGTGGAATAGAATATAAGCCCATATGGAAATTCAATCTACACAAAAAGGGGAATCTCAAATAACTGAGGCAAAGATAGACTTTACAGTAGTGATGCTGGGACAACTTAGCTATAAAGAAAAACATAAAATTAGATCCATTCTGCACACTATATGTAAGAATAAATTACAAATGGATCAGAGATCTAACCGATATAAAATGTAAACTGTATAATATATAAAATAAAGATTAAAAAACAAAATTTTAAATAAAATTAAATGTAAAAATAAAATTAAAAAAATAAAACATGAGTGAATTCTTGTTTAGCTTGAAACATCTTGTTGTATGAGGATGTTCTCAGACAATGATAAGAACATGTCCAAAGGAAATAGAAGCTAACTTAAAGGGTCTCCCATTTAGACAAATCTAGAACAACTTAAGCATCAAAATAGAGTAATGGATTCTAATCCCTTAAATACCATAAGAAGCCATGAGTCCACAGAAATTTAAATTTATAAACATATATATACATACATAAAAGTAAAGAGGAAAAGGGAAGGCTCTTTAGTATATTAGAAGGCCAATTAATAAATGTCGAAGGAATGACGAAGTTAGCAAATCACCATTTTGCAACCACTAGAGTAATAATAAGCCAAGAATTATCAATGGAAGCTAAAAGTTGTGGGTACATTGTTTCAACAGAAGCAATATCTATATAGACTCAAACTATCTTAACACAAATTACTCATTAATTACAAAGAAAAACATTAGTTACTTCACAGTGGAGAAACTTGGCAGACACCACCTTAACCAAATGATTCAAGTTAACATCACTAATAATGAGATAAATCTAAATCTCTTATAACTTAAAAAAACTAATTTGCCAGTCATAATAACATAACAAACCCAATTTCATTACTATCTGAAATAGCAAAACTAACTTTTATAAAACCATTTATGTATAAAAGAAATAAAAATTATTTATTTAATACATACTAATTTGCCTAAGACTTCTAATTGTAAACAGTTTTCAGTCTGTCTACTATTAATATTTAGGACTAAATATATCCTTCTAATTTACAACAGAATATTAAACTAATTTTTTAATACATACCATCATCATCTTTGCTTTCTAGTGGAACACTCCAAGCTATTAGGTTTCTTGCCGTACGACCTTCCTCTGCGACTATTCTCCTTACTTTGTCATGACTATTGGAGCGCTGGAATGAAGCCTATGTATGGAAAAGAGAATATTTATTAGATTATTAGATATTTGATTAGTCAACATATAGAATATATTTGACAAAGTCATTATTTCTCACATTTTCTCAGAAAGGAAGCACTTAAAACTAATTTGGGATTTAAAAGATGGTTAAACAGAGAAAAGAAAGCCATAAGTCTTTTTTAAGTCTAAAAAGAATGAATTTTACAACTTTAACAATAAACAAATTATTTTAAGAATAAATACAACGTAAGGTTTGAAAAAGTATCCTAAAGAGCACAAATGTCTATCAGCACCACCCCTTCCTTACATTATCAACAGGTCCAAGTGTAAAACAGGTCATTTTTTACAGACATGCTATATATTTCCACTGAAAGCTCTCTGTAGCATAAAATGTTTTGGAAAATCCTGTTTTCATTCCCTAAAGATAGCGCTCAAGTAAATCTTCTCTTGGTTAGTTGCACAATTTTACCTCCAAGTTATTGGGATTTAGATAATAATTCCAGTAACAGACATTTAAATTGCAAATTTTAAAACTCAAATTACTACATACAATCTGTGTAATTTTTTGCCTGCTCTAGCCCTACCAAGCTAGTGTTGAAAATAACACTAGACCGGGCGTGGTGGCTCACGCCTGTAATCCTAGCACTCTGGGAGGCCAAGGCGGGCGGATCATTTGAGCTCAGGAATTCGAGACCAGCCTGAGCTAGAGTGAGACCCTGTCTCTACCAAAAAAATAGAAAGAAATTAGCTGGACAACTAAAAATATATATATATAAAAAAAATTAGCCAGGCATGGTGACACATGCCTTTAGTCCCAGCTACTTGGGAGGCTGAGGCTTGAGCCCAGGAGTTTGAGGTTACTGTGAGCTAGGCTGACGCCACAGCACTCTAGCCCAGGGAACAGAGTAAGACTCTGTCTCAAAAAAAAAAAAAAAAAGAAAAGAAAAGAAAATAACACTAGACTACAGGTTCAGCCCCACAAAGTCCCTGGGTCAGTTGCGAGCCAAGTCCAGTAAAATAAAGGAAATTGCTTCCCCACTAATAAATGCTATATGAAAATAGCCTTGGTTTTTATAAACCAAGTATCTATGAGAAGAAAGGGGTCCTAAAGCACCCATATGAGTATGAGAATGCAGCTTCCTTACTTAACCCTTAACTCCATGTAGGCAATATGCCTCTTTCTGAAACAAGTTCACCACTAGGCCCAGCCCAAAATCCAAGTCCAATCATTGGGTGCTTTCATGCCCTCTTCTAGTTCTTGACAGCCCAGGCTTTTAGCATTCCTAGAATCCTAAGGCAACAATACATTTACTAGGCAATTTATTAAATAGCATGTGTAAAGCACTGTGTAACACACTGAGGAGAATATAAAGAAATACAAGGTATTGTACTTATCCTCAAAGAGTTAATCTAAATAAATGAACCAAACATGTAAGAGCAAAAAATAATACATGTAGTAACCAGTATGACAGCTAGTCTCTAAAGATGTCTGCCTTCCCCCCAGTAAACCACACCTGCTGGTGTTCACGCCCTTGTTTAATCCACTCCCCCTGAATTTGGCTCTGTGACTTGCTTTTTGACCAATAAAATGAGGTGGAAGGGACACGGCATAACTTTTGAGACTCAGTCACAAAAAGATTTGCAGCTTCTACCTGGGTTTCTTGGGACAGTCACTCTTAAAAATCCAGCTGCCATGTCATGAGAAGCCCAAGCCACAGGTAGAGAGACCACACCTAGGCAGCATTCTGACAGTACTCCCTGACAGACAGCATCCTCTGCCCACTGTGTGCATAGGCCATTTTGGATATTCCAGCCCAGCTGAGCCCCCAGTTAACTGCTACAGCAGCACCCCAGCCAATACAACATCACAAGAACCACCCAATCAACTCACAGAATGATAACAGGAACTCTATGTATGTACTTTAATCCACAATATACACATCTGAATCTATTTGTATAGAGATATTAAAAAAACATGAGTTTATACTGATACCTCTGATTTCAATCATATACCACAGGGTTCGTTTTAGCCTTCCTCTTTCCTTATTTGAAGCTTCTTTCTCCAACAGTAAGAAACCCAGCTCTCATTACCAACAATATGTTTACTTATTTGCTAAATGCATACATAAAGTGCATACATAAAGTGGTTTAGAAATTGCTAACCCATATCCCTGTGAGAAACACATTTACTTACTAGATTACAGCATTTCTGTACAATTCTTGTTTTTAGCCTTACAATAAGTACTGTTTGTGAAAAGCATTAAATTAGTTCTCATCCTCACCCTGGAATATGTAACTATTGCTTGCTGTTTTGGGTTCTCTCCACCTACTGGTTGATTTTGATTCCTTGTTTATTTGGGGAATATGTGAAGGAAAAGCAACACATTATTCTCAAATGAAGGAATTTGAGTAGTATGACTACAGGGGAAGGAAAAAGTCACTAGAGTACGCTCTAGAGCAGCGGTCAGCAAACTTTTTCTTCAAGGACCAGATAGTATTTTTTACTTTAGGTTTTGCAAGCCATACAGTCTCTGTGACAACTACTTAATTCTGCCATTTTATGTGACACATCCATAGACAATATGTAAACAAATAGGCGTGGCTGTGTGCTAATAAGCTAATTGTGAGGTAAATAAATACATATAACTTTTTATTTTGAAATAAATTCAAATTACAGAAAAGTTACACATTAGCACAAAGAATACCCAAAATACACTCACACATTTTCTTCCTGAAACATCTGAGAATAAATTGCAGTTCTGATACCTCTTGCCAGTAACAACTTCAATGTGTATTTTCTATATGCAAAGACACTCTCCTATATAACTACAATACATCTATCAAAAGCAGGAAATTATCACTGATACAGAATTATTATCTAAATTACAGCAAAATTTCACCAACTGCCCTACTAATGCCTTTAACAGTATAAAATAAAGTTGATAAAAGATATAAGCCCAATTTTCCCAGAAGCTCTCCAAACTCCAAACAGGATAAATACAAAGAAAACTACAACTAAGCACATCACAGAAATACTGATGATAATCTGAAACAAGGAGAAAAATCTTAAGAAAATACAGAAGGAAAAAAACTCACTACATTTAAAGGAGCAGCAATAACACTGACAGCCTTGCACTGTCCAAGAAGTGGTGAAGTCTAATAATCATAAACTCTAATAAATCAATAACTTATTGTCTATTCGGTAGAACAGCAGGGTCAAAATCCTGACCAAAAAGGGTTCAAAAGAAAATGCTGAGTAAGAAAGCAGAGATAGTGAATATTAAAAAAAAACTCTTTTTGAGTTTTGTCATAAAGGAGAACAAAGAAAGAAATGAATAGAAGGGATTTTTAAGATAAGTGATAGTATATCATATTTTCATGCTGATGAGAATGATCCAGTAGAGAAAGAAATTGTGTCATGTTGGGAAAGTGAGAATAATCATAGGTGCTAAATCCATGAGTGACAGGAATTAGGTTTCCATACACGAATCAATCAACTAACTAACCAATCCAAACTACTAGGAAAATAAAGACTGCTCTCTCCTACTCTAATTCTCTGTAATGAGAGGCTAATCCAAAATTTTGTGTCAAGAACTTCTAAAAAAAAATTTTTTTTTTTGCGACTTAGGTAACTTGTTTTCTTTCTTTTCTGGTTTTTATATTTTTTAAAATTTTATTTCAGCATATTACGGAGGTACAAGTGTTTAGGTTACATATATTGCCATTGCCACACTCAAGTCAGAGCTTCAAACGTGTCCATCCCCCAGATGGTGCGCACTGCACCTATTAGGTGTGAATATACCCATCCCTTCCTCCCCCCTCCTATCTACCCAACACCCAATGAATGTTATTACTATATATGCACTTAAGTGTTGATCAGTTAATACCAGTTTGATGGTGAGAACATGTGGTGCTTGTATTTCCATTCTTGGGATACTTCACTTAGCAGAATGGGTTCCACCTCTATCCAGGATAATACAAGAGGCGCTAGATCATCATTGTTTTTTGTGGCTGAGTAGAACTCCATGGTATACATATACCATATTTTATTAATCCATTCATGTATTGATGGGCACTTGGGTTGTTTCCACATCTTTGCAATTGTGAATTGTGCTGCTATAAACATTTGAATGCAGATGTCTTTTTTATAGAATGTCTTTTGTTCTTATGGGTAGATGCCCAGTAATGGGATTGCTGGATCAAATGGTAGTTCTCCTTGTAGCTCTTTGAGGTATCTCCATATTGCTTTCTACGGGGGTTGTACTAGTTTGCAGTCCCACCAGCAGTGTAGGAGTGTTCCTATGTCTCCACATCCACGCCAACATTTATTGTTTTGGGACTTTTGGACAAAGGCCATTCTCACTGGAGATAAGTGATATCTCACTGTGGTTTTCCTTTGCATTTTCCTGATGATCAGAGATGTTGAGCATTTTTTCATGTTTGTTAGCCATTAGTCTACCTTCTATGAAAAAGATTCTATTCATGTCCTTTGGCTACTTTTTGATAGGGTTGTTTGATTTTTTTCTTGTTGATTTTCCTGAATTCTATATAGATTCCAGTTATCAGCCCTTTATCGGATGTGTAACACGCAAATATTATCTCCCATTCTGTAGGTTGTCTGGTCACTGTTGTGATAGTTTCCTTGGCTGTGCAGAAGCTTTTTAATTTGATCAGGTCCCATTTATTTATTTTTCTTGTTGCTGTGATTGCTTTGCGGGTCTTCTTCATAAATTCTTTGCCTAGGCCAATGTCTAGAAGAGTTTTCCCAACATTTTCTTCCAGAATTCTTAAGGTTTTACACCTTAGGTTTAAGTCTGTTATCCATCATGAGTTGACTTTTGTGAGACGTGAGAGGTGGGAATCCATTTTCAATCTTCTGCTGTGGTTATACAGTTTTCTCAGCACCATTTATTAAATAGAGATTCTTTTCCCCAGTATATGTGTTTGTCTGCTTTGTGAAACATCAGATGGCTATATGAGGATGGTTTTATATCTGGGTTCTCAGTT